GAATAAAAAATGACGAATAAAAGAAAAGTCAGCTCCTTGCAAAACAACTGGTCAAACTATTACGAGGAAGACCGACTGAAATCGACATTTCATAAGTGTCACAGTCACCGTCACGAATTTGTTGACTGATACGATATATCTGTATCTCAACTTACTAGCGACAGGTTTTTGCAGTGTTAGATCTTTCGATAACAGAATAGTCGTCTAGTTTTTAACTTTACCGACTGTGTCCTATTTTATGATTGTGGTATTTTGATTGAATGTGGATACGAATTGCCGGCTATGACTGCATACCAGAAGACGCTTACCGTTCCGTTGAATGAAGTGGTGTAATAAAATGGAAAATGGAAATGGGGAATGTGTCAAAGAGACAACAACCCGACCAAAGAGCAGAAAACGGCCCAAGCCCACCAATGGGTCTTCAACACTGCGAGAACATCCCGCACCCGGAGGCGGGCTCCAGCTGGCCCCTAAACAAAAATATGTACCAGTTCAGTGAAAATGGACGTCACACTAAACTCGAAAACATATAAATGAACTAAAACTAAAAAAAAAACATACAAGACTAACAAAGGCCAGAGGCTCCTGACTTGGGACAGGCGCAAAAAAGCGGCGGAGTTAAACATGTTTTGTGAGATCTCAACCCTCCCCCTATACCTCTAGCCAATGTAGAATTAACAAACACACAGCAGTACCCACAGTAAAACTCAGTTTAAAAGAAGTCGGAGTCTGATGTCAGAATATGTAACAGAAGAATATATGCAAATTTACAATGAAACATAAATCAACAAAGGACTACTAGCAGTTACTGACATGCCAGCTACAGACCTCAATTGAACTGATTGAAAGATTATGTCATCATCGTATGAAAATCAAGCACAATTCCTCCCGTTAGGGGTTTAGTATCATACCATCATAAAATATATGTGAAGAACATAACCCGTATCATGCCAACAACTGGTTTTAGAAAAAATGTGTTTATTTCAAATGCAAAGACCTTATGAGCGAATCAATATCAATTCCAAAATATATCATCTTTAATGACCTGACAACAGTATCGTAACTATATCCCTTCTGAATAAGTCTGTTTAAAGGTTTGGTTAGCTTTTGAGGTGAATGACGACATTTTTTGTGCTTTGTATAGAATATTACCATAAAAGATTGGATGAGAAATACCTGAATGTATAAGATGTCTGCATGTTGATTTATATTTACGAATGATGTCCTTGTACCGATGATAAAATCTAGTAAATATTTTGACTAGTTTGAGATATCAAAAACCCTACTGTAATAATTTTTCAGTAATACAGAGATTTCTTTCGTTAAAATCAAATACGTTGTCTTATACACGGGCGAATCGAACAAGTTGAGATATATAAACACCATTAGATTAGAAAGCCCTTATAAAACATCAAGCGATAAATATATATTTGAGACACAACTCGAGAAAGAAATGAATAAAAATGATAAATCACTCTGCGATGGGGATATTACAGTAGAAGAATGCTCAGATGCTATTTATAAAATGAAACTTAATAAATCCCCTGGATTAGACGGTTTAACAGTTGAATTTTATAGAAAATTTTGGGATAAATTAAAGTTTATAGTAGTAAACATTCTTAATATTGGATATAAAGATCAAACACTTACATACTCACAGCGTACAAGTGTATTAACGCTATTATTTAAAAAAGGTGATCCATTGTCACTAAATAATTACCGTCCTATTTCTCTTTTCAATATTGACATGAAACTTCTATCATACGCTCTAGCACAACGATTGAAAAAAATCTTACCAAAACTTATTAAAGAAGACCAGACTGGATATGTAAAGAATAGATTTATTGGTTTTAATCTTCGACAGATACAAGATATTATTGATTTCACTGATTTATACAAAATTGAGGGGGTTATAATCTTTGTTGATTTTTCTAAAGCGTTTGACTCTCTAGAATGGAATTTTATGTTTTCAGTTTTAAAACATTTTGGATTTAATGAATCTTTTATCAGATGGGTTAAGACTTTATATAGCGATATTCAAACATGTGTTATGAATAATGGTTGGATATCTGATGTCTTTAAAAACACCAGGGGTATACGCCAAGGATGTCCTTTATCTGCATTATTATTTGTTTTATCTGTGGAAATCATGGCGTCAAGATTAAGAAGCAATACTGATTTTAAAGATATCAGAATCAAATTAGATTGCAGACAGTATAAAAATTTCGCAACTAGCAGATGATACTACTTTATTTTGTTGTTCTAAATATGATGTTCAAGTTGCTATGAACGAAATTGAAATTTTTGGTTCTTATTCAGGATTGAAATTAAACAGAAATAAAACAGAGGGGTTCTGGCTAGGAAAGCTTAAATCATGTAAAGACAAAATTGAGGGAATCAACTGGAGCAATGGACCAGTTAAAACTCTTGGTATATACTTTGGGCATTGTAGAGAGGAATGTGAAAAACTAAATTGGTAAAAAATAAAATTGAAAAGATGAATAAATTATTTTGTGCTTGGCAAAAAAGAAATATTACTATTTTTGGAAAAATTTTGAGTATCAAAACACTAATTGTGCCCATTTTTACTTTTGTGGGATCTGCCTGCATAGTTTCAGAGAAATATTTAAAAGAAATAGAAAAAAGTTGTTTTAAATTTGTTTGGGATAATAAACCAGATAAAGTAAAAAGAAATTCAATTATTGGTCCCTATAAAAAGGGGGGATTGGATATGATAGATATAAGAAGTTATTTCACTGCTTTAAAAGCCATGTGGGTAAAAGACTAGTAAATGATAGTGAAGGAGGTTGGAAAATTATACCTCAGCACTATTTTTATAATTTTGGGTCAAACTGGTTAGTGTTTCAAACAAACAGTGGGGATAAGCCAGACGAAAGCATTGAACACATTCCAGATTTTTATTAAGATATCATTAAATGTTGGAAATTACCTGGTGGAAGTCTAACAAAAAAAACAGAAACATTTACAGATATAAGAAAACAAATATTATGGAACAATAAATTTATTAAATTTGAAAATAAAGCTATATTTTTAAAAAATTGGATTAAAAGCGATCTTATTTATGTAAATGATATCATAGATGAAAAAGGCTGCATTTCTCAAGACATAATTTTAAATAAACTAAAAAATAAATCAAACTGGATAGTTAAAATTAATTTAGTAAAGAAATCAATACCAAAAGACCGGGCAGCAATTTTAAAATCGGAAAATTCTGTAAAAAGTATTGTTAATATAAAAAGAAACCAATTTATATTGGAAGGTTCACCTATAAAACTAGAATCACTAACAAATAAACTTTTATATAAGTCTCTGATAAATAAAAAAATTGAACCAGCTATCGGACCAAAAAAATGGCTGCGTATATTTGATATAGATGATGTGTTATATCAAAACAATTTATATAAATTTTTATTCAGATATTTAAAAGAAAATAAACTTAGAATTTTTAGATGGAAATTACTACAACATATTCTACCTACAAAGAAACTTTTATGCAGGTGGAAAATTGTAAACAATAGTTCTTGTAATTTTTGTACACAAGAAGAGGATTATGATCACTACTTTATACTGTGTCCGTATTTAAAACTTTTTTGGAATGAAATAAATGAAGTTTTAAAGGACAGTAAAATAACTTTTAAGATAAAACTAAGACACTTGGTATTTGGATATAAAACTTTTGACGAAGAATATTTTGACTTTAACTATTTTTTAACGATTGTTGGCTTTTCAATTTACAAAGCCTATTACATATCTGATCAAAAGACAAAAAATGTCAATGTTTTCTTAATTTTTCTCAATGAGTTCAATAGAAGAGTATGTTTGAAAATTAAAATTAATATTTTAGCAACTATTAGAAAACATATGAATAGTCATATTAAGTGATATTGTTTAATATATATTTGATGTACAAATGTAATATGTATTTTACAACTAATCACTACCCTGAGTGATTAGTGGATTGTAACAGGGAACATCAGGAGGAGCTTGGACTCCTGAAGGATATTGTAACAAGCCAATATTTGAAATAAATATTTAATTATGTAAAAAAAAAAAAAAAATTAAAGAAAAAAGAAATAAGTGAAATTATTTCACTAGTTGGAAGTTATAAAATAAAAAGAAAAAAGAAAAAAAAAGGGAACGTCACCATCTAAAAATGAATTATTAACAATAGAAAATGAAAAATCATCTCTTTTATCGTAAATTTTGGTATTATGCTTCCCGATAAAGATATAGATATCAAGATCCAGGAAAGGGCAGTGTTCATTGTTAATATTAGCTTTATTTAAAGTCAGTTCAGCAGGATAAATCTCTTTAGTTTACATACTGAAGTCGTCATTATTGAGAGCCAATACATCATCCAATATCTAAAATTGTTATTAAATTTTTGTATCAGATGTTGTTTCGATGGGTCTTTGCTAACTTTAGTCATACATTGTAACTCATAGCAATACAAAACCAGGTCTGCAATATGTGGTGCACAGTTAGTTCCCATTTGAATTCCGATAACTTGACGATATACAATATCTCCATAGCGAACAAAAATGTTATCTCGTAAAAATTCAAGTGCAGTAATCGTATCAAAGCAGGTCGAATTGACATAGTTCTTTTGTTTGTTCGATGTTTAGTGTTTGATTTTATCAGTTTATATGAACTTACCCTTTTTTAATTTACCTTGGAGTTCTATATTGTGCTACCTTCAAATTTTATTAATCAGATGTAAACAGCGATAAACAACAGTCGTATGAAAGAATTGTGTTTCGATTCAATATGTAGGGTAATGTATGGTTACACAATATTGGATTTGCTTCAGAAATAGAGATTCATTGCTTACCGGTATGAACAATTTTGAGAATCTCTTATTGAATTACCATGACCTTTAACGGATTAAAGGGATATTACCTTGCTTGAGAACAATTGGAAACGAAACTGCCTACCATTTTTGAAGCAGATATGAGTTTCTGTAAAGAATTCAGCTAGTGTGAAGCTTGACTTTTTATTTACATGAATAACGACCTCAACACAACATTAACAAACACTGTTATACACGATAATATAATCAGAGATCATGTTACCTTAAAACACATGTTAATTAGTTTCCAGTGGCACCGTTGGTTGATATGGTCGAGTGTTTGGTTTTGTCGGTTTTGATGAAATCTCCATATTCGAATTTCCATGAAGTTTGGTGTGTTTGTTGTTAAGTTTCTTTTTTATTATGAACTAAGTCATATACAGATACAACTGATATATATATATCAATACAAATGTATTAATATGCGATCACAATACATTCAAGATAGCACACCACGTTTGTGTAAGAATCAAGCAGGGTATTCCCTATCTAATATCACATTACATTCAAGAATGCACAACACGTTTGTTTGAGAATCAACCGTGGTACTTTGAATCTGATAAAGTCTCCTACTTCAACGATGGTATGTCATGAATTTCTAGTTATGGTGGCTAATAAACAGCTAGTTCTAAGGTGTTTCATACCTTCTTTTAGCAAGACCATAATCATAATCTATAATAAATAATAAAACAAATGTATTAGATCCTCATTATGGTTTTTGCTTGCACGAAATTGAGAAATGCAAACAATGGTATTGACTCACAGAAATACATTAACTATGCTGTCAAGCAGATACATTTTAGAATAATAAAGACAAAGGATATAAGGACATAGCAGCAAATTAAACCTTTTACATAGAAAATGAACCAACGCACACATTTTCAACAGCCTACTATACTTTGGGCACATTTTCAAAGTTTTGATTTTTTTTTCTTTTATTTAAGTTTGAGTTATTTTATTAAGCGATTGATAACTGCTCACATGCATTATCAATTGACTGATTTATCAAAACAAGAAACGAGTGATATAAAGAATTAAAGAATAATCAATTTTATTGAATGAGGAAAAAGCAAATATACACGTTTCACGATTAAAATTTGTACGTGTAATGTTAAGTCACATGTACAACAAAGGAAGTTACCAGACCAGCATAATGTATTACAACATCTAGAAAGAGTCATTACTCGTTAATGCTCACTTGTTAAAAAAGTGAAACAAATTATTTGAAATTATATATTGATTTTACAAAATGCCAGCTTATTTGGTAGCTTAATTGGTTCAGATGGATCAATATATAATTGAGATAGCTGACGAGTTTTATGAAAGTCCAAGTTGATTTAAAAAAGTTATAGAAATTTTCAAAGGAGACTATCTTAATTTAGTCCGAAGTAAAAATCTTAGTATTTTTTCTATTAATTAAATCCTTAAATTTGACAGCAATAAATCAAACTTCCAAATGACTTAACATTTTACAAGATTAATCTATAATTGAGATAACTGAAATTCCAAGTTGATTTGAATAAGTCTGAATTTTTGTCTGAACTGAAAATTCTAGCTTTTTTACCTATTAAATAATTCCCTAAGTTTGACAGCAATCAACCAAGCTACCAAATAACGTTACTCTTTGTAAAATCAACAGATAATTGAGATAGTGTAGGGTTTTGCAAAATCAAAGTTGATTTGAATAAGTTATAGACATCTTTAAAGAGGACTATCTGAAAGTAGTCTGAACTGAAAATTGTATTTTTTTTATGCCTATTAATTAAATCATTTAATTTGACAGCAATAAATCAAACTACCAAATAACCTGGCATTTTGAGAGATCAATATATAATTGACATAGATGCGCTGATTTAGACCGAATGAAGACCAGTTGAGACTACATTTAAAGGTCAAGATTGGTCGTGACTAGTCGAGACATAGTCGAAACTGGTCAAGACAGAGTCGAGACTGGTCGAGCATTTGTCGAGACCGTATTCAGATTATAACAAGATTATCAAGTATTCAATCAAACTTAGTAAGTAAAGTCTAAACCAAGGTCAAGTACAGTTAGGTACAGTTAAGATTATGAGGAGACTTGTCAATTGCCTAATTGGTTGAGTACAGAATATGATATTTTCAGATTCTGAGCAGTTTTTAGTGAATATAACAACAAATCAATTTTATGTATTGAGGCACAAAGGAGAAACATAATACTTACAGTGTTCGATAAGAAAGACTGTTATGATTATTGTAATTCTCTTTTATCGGTTGCATCCATGCGTACTGGACTCCTCTGCATTTTCTGTTTATTGAAAGCTACAACATATTAGGGTATTGTCAAACACATTAGATTAATATAAAAAGATTTTTCACTTTTTTTGTGTTTCCTTGTCTCAATTTATAACATATATACATATATCTATATTCGAAAAACAAATGTGTTATACATTGATTAATACTTTCCATCAAATGTGCATGCGCACATAACATATTACAGTGTCACGATTTATTTGATTTTTTAATTTAAGTGCTGTAGTTACATGTAGTAGTCAATTCATGAATTCAGTTCTAGCTTTGATAAAGTTATCAAACAGTTATATATTTGGAAAATGGACATATCCAATTTTACCAATTTAAATAAAGAAATCTGACTCACAAGTATCTGTCACTGGAGTGAAAAAAAAAGATGTATTGTCCCTAAATATGTAAATTAAAACTAAACATCTCTTCAAAGCAAACACGAGAACAATACACTTATACACGTAATACAAAGAAATAAAAACAATTCTAACATTAAGGTATATATATATATATATCGAAAATAGGTATCGTCTAAAGGTTAATAGATATATACAAAGGTATAGCAACTATGTAACGGCTAATTATGTAATTTTGTTTATTTAAACATATCTTAATGACATTTATTAAATGAGTAACTGAAGAGGGAATAATACAGTATAATCAAACATGTTAGCAGACATACAACTATTCAGGGGCGATATTTTTTATTTATTGATTTAATATAACCATGATAATAAAGAACTGCAATATTTGATACTGATAACATGCATCTTGAAACGCGATTCTTCAATTAGGGGTATTTGAAGCAAACTAAATTATTCATAAATGTGTCAAAGATATAATACAACATTCTACAATCCTACTAGTTATCTCCAACCCCGACATTCATTTGAAGTAAAATAATAGAAACAACAAATAAATACGAACTACAAAGGTTAACATTAAGAATATTGAAAAAAGTAATCTTTTAATTTCGGGTGAAATTAACATTATCTGTATGAAACATGTAATAAGCATTTTCAAGCTTTCGAGTATAATCATATGCGTGGAAGCGGTAGCATCAAGCAGCTACAACATATTTTAAAAAAGATAGCTCCACAAATTAAGATAGTGGTGTTAACACAACAATATATCAAAATGTTTGACAAATTAGATAACGAAATATTTAAAGACAACTTCTTGTTTGCATTTTAAATATAATGAAAGTAAGAAACGTATATATTAATTTATTTAATATTATCTTTATATAAGAATGTTCTTATTGCAGAATGCATTGCATCTGAAATTAACTGTAAATTCCAAGTTCAAAGTGTCAAATATTTCCAAGCAAATAGAAAGTATCAATGATATAACTAAATAACAATCCATTGTGTTGAAAAATATATGTTTGTTTTCAAGAAAAGATGATACCGGTTTACATACTTACTATTTTCATTGTAAATAAATACACCATAAATTTGTTCTTTGTCTGTGTATATGACATTCGCTGTAACTACTGATGAAACTGTGACCTTTTGTACTTGATTGCCATTTGAACAGTATATTATGCTATTATATGCATGAATGCCTCTGTTTGTATTGGTTGTACTCGTCATGAAAACTTGTTTTACGGCAGTTCCATTAATATTTGAAGACATCAAATCCCCAGTTATATACTCCATCCAATAAATGTGCCCTTCGTTGGAATCTAATATGAAGATTGTTTTATTGATAATTTATTCCATGCATTTACAAAAAATGTTAAACTGGTAACATTGTCTATGTTTATAAATTAAAAGTTAATAATTGTTCTGTGCATGTAATAGTTGTAATAATATATGTTGATGATCTCAAAGACGCCATCTATTATGGTTTGTGTTCCATGCTCTCAGATAGAGTTGGCTTAATGTAAACAATAATCTTGTGACTTAACATGTCATAATTAATGGTGTAACGTACACAAAACTTCTTCATTCAATAACAGAAAGTATTAGAACCTAACTATTCTAACCTTTACTGCAGATGTATATAACTCCCGGATTTAGCTCTACGGGAAAGGTAGACAATAGCGTATGCATTAAACTGATCAAATTATAATTCCACATTTTTATTTCGTAATATTATTGTATTAAGTTTATTTTATTGGGTTCTAATTATATATCATCCAGAACTAGAAATTCACTAAACAACAGACACAACTTCCTCAGCCTTAATTTTAGACTTCTACCTGTAATTTGACATAAGCAGTAGTCTCAGTATCAGAATCTGTGACAAAAGAGACAATTTTAGTTTTGAAATTATAAATTTCCCGCACATTAGCAGCAATATATCAATCTAACCTGCATACTGGATAAACATTTCCCTACTCATTCAAGAGCTTGTGGCTGCTACTATGACTTAATGAAACGTAATCAGTGTCTGAGCAGAAAGTTGATGAACCAGGGTTATGTTAAAAACAACATCTCGTCCTTTTTCTAAAAAAAAATTGGGAGATACCAAGACCTTGTTGATGAATATTCCGTATCAACTTCACAGTTAATGGATCACGGTCTTGAAGTATAGATTCTAGGTACTGACGTTGTGCATCTTAATTTTCTTTGTAAATTTTTAACCTTTACTGTTTAGTCCATTTTTGGTTATATACTTTTGGCGTGGCTCGGTATTTCTACATCCCGCTATGGTATTGTTGTGCTATAGTCATTTAAGTTATGATCGGGGAGCATACCTATGCTCAAACCAGATACTGTTTGTGTATGAACATCTGTAAAAGTCTTTATTTCAGTCCCATTCAATCTAGCTCGCCTTATTACGTTGTTTGTGGTGTCAATTATACTGTAATACACCCATCTGTAATATAAATGATCAAATTACTTAAATAATTTCATGCAAGGTGCAAATCTATGTGTAGCACTTCATTTTTGAAATGCTTATATATTTTATTTTTCGATCCAAATCCAAACTAAGTTCACTTCATACATTTAGGTTTTTCTGTACAGAAGATAACATACATGTAGTATCTGTTCGGCTTTGGATTTTTCTTTCACGTTTGCATTGCCCGATGTTTTTGACATTGTCGTATCGTTTTGAGGAGGATATTTCCTTTAACATTTCACATTTAAACGCATTGTTATTCGTTCGAGAGGCTCTTCTTTTTAAAATAAAAATTTCTCAAAAAAAGTCCTTGCATACATGTACGAGTCACAGAGCATACTTTTTGTTGTGTCAAAGAGCGAAACGACACGAAAGCAATTTTAAGAAACCACATTTCTATTTAAACTATTATTTTCAAATGATAAGTCAAACATGGCTACAAAATGCATGGTTTTTAGGATGATGACACAATTTACCTAGTTTTTTTGTTCAAGAAAAAAAAATCAAGAAATAGACGTTCACTTTCATGACCAAGAGATGTGTAAACAATGTAGCAGTATTTGGGTTTTTTTTTTTCATTGTTTAAATCATAATTTTCAATATTATATTGGATAGACATATACACACCTGTTAGCAATATCTAATGTTAAAGCAAACATTGGATCATCCTGTAATATTAAAAATTGATTTGATCCATCCATATTACACTGGTAAAGCTTTCCCGTATATCGTTCTATCCAGTACACATGGTTGTATAACGGGTCAATTGCTATACCTATTGGGTTATTTGCTATTGTGACATTTTCTGTCTGGTACGTATAGTTTGATGGATAACGAAATCTTAAAAAAGAAAAGTACAAAACAAATTGTTATCATCAACCCATGTAACTTATTATTCGTGTGTATCTAATATAAAGGAATGAAATCCTTTCAACTAAAACAAATGAATTATAATTTCGAAGCAGAAAACGAGCTAGAGGTGTATATTCATATATATAACAACCCTATAGAACGTCGACAGAGAAAACCATTACTCGACTAACGAAAGCTATGCTTTTATCAAGCCTAGCCGATCCAGTGGTTTAGTGGCTGGACACAGTCTAGGCAGGACTGCCAAGATGTCTCAGAACTATTGGTTCTAATCCTCCTGAGAGAAGGACAAAACATTTTGCTTTAGTAAAATTGCAGATCTAATATGCTCTTTCATTGTATTAAAACAATTTATTTTATTTAGATAAATGTATGAATATTGTGGATATTTTAGCTCATCATTTTGAAATGAATTTAAGAATAAATAAATAAATAATTTCATCATAGATACCAGGATTGAAATTTTATCCGCCATATAAGCTTTTTGTCTTCAAAAGACTCATCATTAACCCTCGTATTGAACAAAGTAAAAAAAAGCAAAGCAAATTACGAAGCTGAAGAGCATTGCATTGTGGACCCGAAATGATTAAAAAAATTTGGCAAGTACAGGTAAGGTCATCTCTTCCTGGTCAAAAGGGTATATACATTCGAGGTGGTAAACCGTACATACCGCATGAACAAAGAAGCTCTTAAGAAATAGTTTAAAATAATTCTACCTAAGTAAAATATCAAAAATACCAAACTGCAAGCAAAACGGAAAGTCTTTTATCAAATTGCAAAATCCAAAGCTCACACATCAAATTAATGGGAAAAAAAACTGTCATATTCCTGACTTGGTACAGGCATTTCCCCATGTAGTAAATGGTGGATATAACTTGGTCTAAACCTCTAACTTGTATGACAGATATTTGGACTGCACAGAAAGTCATAGATGAAAAAATCATATCATCACAACATCCAAGCTAAAGGCCCCTTCTGACTATTTTAAAGTCCTTACTACGTTATGGTAACTGAAAAACACAAACAACCTGTAAAATATCAGCTTTCAGTAAGTGTACTACAACTAATCGCTCTTTGCCTTGAACTAGTTCATTAACATTATAATTAACGTTAGTAATAAATAATATGGAATTAGTGGAATGAACTATTTTTGGAGTGTAAAACATTCTGTTGATATTCTAGATAAAGTGTACGTGCTTTTGGTGGTTGTTTCAAATAGGTTGACAGATTTTACCTTCCAACTCTACACTACATTTCTACACAATCTTAACAATCAAACGTGTTCTTAATTAGTTGTATGGTCGTTGTAAAATCTGATTGCATATTTATATGACGAAACTCATATAAAGCCTTCTTCTCTAATGAAAATTGTAAAATATGCTGGATATATTCACTGGAGGTTTAATGAGATGTTTGAACCTGAATATTTTCTCCATGACAAAATTTATGTACGTTTCAACGATAAAGTCGATCGACAGGATGTAAGTATTTCTATGGGATCCAATTGCGCCCTTTAAATAACAGTCGTGTTCCTGTACTGCACAGTTACCTTGACCATATGTTTTTGTTAAATATTCAAGATTTTTTTTAAATATACTACTTAAATTTACAAAAAAGAACTTACTTTAGATATATCATATATAAACGGTTATAACCGCCCTTTCCTAGATAAAGAAATTTCAAGTTTACACGGGAAACTCACATGCTTGTACTACAAGAAGGACGATTTTTCGTTCCCTATTAAAAAAATTTCATTTTTTTAACGGTGATTTTCCTTTAACACCATATAACGGTGTTCATATATTCCAACTCGTCCGTTACACCTGTGTCTGTAGTGACATTTTTGTGTTAAATGAACGTAATCTGTGTAATACTAGTATACTAGTAAGTTATTGGCCCGAGAACACAGTTATTTCGTAGTGCATTTCTTTTAGACAATAAATGGGAAATAAAAAAATCCCACCTGCGCTTTCTCAATAATATTTTTACAGTGTGGTGTTCTACTTTTGGGACAAATTATATTAAAATTATAAAAACCTTCATCAGCTCTTACTCAAAATATGGACAATTTCATTGGTCTTGAATTCTTTTGACAGCTTCCGAAATACTAATTTTTAACCTTTTTTAGCTGGCCCAAATCAATACTTTACTATTAAAAACATGACCCAAATTTTTTTACAGTATAGTTTCATCCCTCGACTTGCTACTTGAGGCATAAAACATGAAAAAATAACTCTGGAAAGGGTATAAAAAAAAAAACAAGTAACACACTGTCCACACTAGGAATTATATTCGTAGACAACGAAAAACAAGGGTCGATAACTGTGTTCCCGGACCTAATAGGATAGAAAGACTTAACCAATCTTTATAAAACTTAGTATGACCAAAGCCTAATGAATTTTAATACAGTTGACCAAGTGTCATGGCAAAAAGATATATATTATAGACAATATGATTAATTAGGTCTTTCCACTTTTCGGTGGAAAGACCCATTGTATTTCTTCTGATTATAATTTTTTTTTTTCTTCTTCCGCCACTTTTATGTCTTGCGTATGAATTTTGTTTCGCAAGATGTCGCTTAGATGTTTGGTATATGATATCGAACAGTTTATGCGCCTTTGAAATTCACCCTGCGTAACCGAATACTTTTATTTGTAGGAGTTATCTCCAGAACACTGTTTTCCTTGTAACTGCATCTCCTCCGTAACCGTATTAGAAAGCGACAAATTTATTTTATAAAATTGCTCGTTATATCCTTCGCATGATTTGTCCTATTTTGACCGAAGCCGTACGAACACTCCATATGAGAGTTATTTCCCATTATGCATTTGATATAAGTGATATGCATTTCTATCTTGTAAACCATAAGTGATAGAGACCTAAGATCTTTTGATTTGAGGTCCTTGGTCCAAAAAAAAAAGAAAATAAGGTCAAGGTCAGAGGTCAAGGTCATATTTTAAATTTTGGCTTATTTTCAATTCTTTTTAAAAACCGTATAAGATATCGACAACATATTTTTACTAAATTGTAAGTTGCGACATGTCGTAACATATAAATTTTGGTTGAAAGGGTACACTAACATCAAATTGGAGTTTTCTCCCCTCTTATATTAAAAATTAGGCATATAGTGATGTAACTCATTAACCATATATAACTAAGACCTATGGTCTTTTGATTTGAAGCCCTTGGTTTATGACCTTGAAATTGAGCTGAAGGTCATAGGTAAACTTGACCTTTGCTTTTACCTCATATGTATACATGATAAAGCCATGAGACTTTTTGCATTACGTTGCACCACTTGACCATGGAAAAGCCAACCGGAAGTGACCATGTGTAAACCGGAAGTAGCTATTTTTTTGTACTTATTTAGTGACATTTTTCAAACCGGAAGTAACAATTTATCTCCCTTATTTAGAAAAAAAATGTATAGAAACAATATCTTTTTGGAATCAGTGTACAATAAGCTATCATTTGACGCTGGATATGATATTTTAAACCGAATTTTAATAGTTCTATATCAAAATAGATCTTTATGGGTGGAAAGACCTTCAATTGTTCTCTGAATAATTGGTTTTTAATTTTAATTTTATATTGAAATTTCCGTGTTAAATTTTGATGTTAAAATTTAAGAATTTCAACTATCAACATTTGGGGCTTTAAAAAAATGGCTCAAATATACGCATAAACTTTAATACTATAAATACATAATAAGGATTATTCGTTTTGATTTATCATTCAAAAAATATTTCAAAAAGAGTTACAACTAGTTTGACATACCTTAATATGTCGTTTTTACTGTATCTTGGAAAATAAATATATCCATTTTTATAATCATAATCCATAGAATTAATTTCACTTCCCAGATTGGTCAAAAGATGTGTAACAGCCTTAGTCTGCAAGTTGACTTCTGTAATCTTACCACGCGTTGAAACAATAAGCTTGAATTGAACACCTAGAATGTGAATCAAAAAGATTACATATTACATAATTGTCACAATTCTTTACTTTCAATTTCATAACTTATTACTTATTAGTAGCATCAACACAGAAAAAAAAACAGGTTTGTTTTCTATAAAACTGTGAACTGGTTTGTTTGTCGTTTCTTTATTTATTATGTTATCCGTCTATATTTCCCACATAATATGTAGAAGTACATTTTTATTATCTTTTTATCGTAAGGGATGTACAAGGACGAGGTCACGTCCGGTCAGAAGTGAGACGTTGAATTAGATGATTTATGAAGAAGAAGCGCCACGTTCTCTGGACGTTAAGAAGCCGCGCAAAAACTCTGTCAGTGGTTTTGATTTAAATGAACAGATGTTTGTACATTATTTCATGTAGTCTTCCATTTGCGCAAAGATAAAGTATGTTTGATTCATTTCATGTTTATACTAAGCATATTCAATGGAAGTAATTCCGAAACTTTGTAAATTTCAAGGAAATTACAGGATTTTTTTTCTATTTTATGTTATAGCAGGGGATAACATGCACTTTTGTCTCATTACGTCATCCTTTTGTTATTCAACCGTTAATCATTTTAGGGGTGTTACTGGTATTTTTTGCCGATTGATTTAATTGAAAAAGTAATATTTGATTTGAAAATGTTTCTAGTACTTACCTTGACCAATAAGGCAGAATACAATAACCAATTCCGATAAAACCAACAACTTGCACTTCATATTAATTTGATCTAAAAAAACATATTCGTTTAACTCTTCAGAATGAAAATTGTTATATGAAATAAATTTAATAATGCAAACTTGATTAACGTAATCCATACCTCTAAGTCTCTTCGTTACAAGTGAACTTGATCTCTTTTTTTTTTTCCTTGGTTAATTAATGTATTGTACATCTCGTAATATCCATAACTGTACACTCAATTTTTAAACAATTTGATTTTGGATTTAAATTTCAAAATGAACTGCATTTGTAAAAAGTATAAGATAGGAATATCGATTACCTAAATCATTAAAAAAACGCTGTTAAATACTAGAAACGGCACGTGCACATCATTATACATCCAAAATTAATTTAAACGAACTGTTACAGTAATATCATACTACCAAGAAAATGACTCAACACATAATACAAAACATTAATATGTGTCTATTATTGTCAGGAATTGTCGATGGAAAGTTTCCAAAAGATTTAATCAACAATAGTTCGAGCTGAATTCAACAAGGAACTATTTTTTAATAATGTATTTATATTTGTTTTTTTAAATATATATATTGTTTTTCTTAAATTGTTTAACATTTCACAGCGGTATAACATGTTACTTTAATTATTCTTCCCTAAGTTTATTTATTTTGCATTTACATTGTATCATAGATCAAATGTATTTGTTCAGTGTATGTTCACTGGTGTTAATATGTCTTTTGATTGAGTTTAGCCATTTCAATTGTTTTTTTATATGTGTCTTTCTATGTTGTGATGTTACACTATTGTTTTAGATAAGGGTGAAGGTTTGGTACCATTAAAATGTTTAAATCCGCTGCCATTGTTTGCACCTGTCCTAAGTCAGGAATCTGATGTTCAGTAGTTGTCGTTTGTTGATGTGGTTCATACGTGTTTCTCGTTTCTCGTTTTTTATATAGATTAGACCGTTGGTTTTCCCGTTTGAATGGTTTTACACTAGTAATTTTTGGGGCCTTTTGTAGCTTGTTGTTCGGTGTGAGCCAAGGCTCCGTGTTGAAGACCGTACTTTGACCTATACTGGTTTACTTTTTTAAAATTGGACTTGGATGGAGAGTTGTCTCATTGGCACTCATACCACATCTTCTAATATCTATATCAATATATATAGAAAATGTTGTTTGTTCTGTATTTAGACCCCTCTACCAAGACATTTGTTTTGCATGCACACGTATAAAATTGCGTTTTTTATCCAACGCAATCATAGGTTTGAACGTTGTTTTCAATTTAGACTTGTTTACAATTTTTTCGTTTGGGCTTGTATTATATTTGCTTTCGGGTTTTTATGATCCGTTCATCCTATTTTGACTCTTTCAAAATTCAAGAGTCTATCCTAATTGAGGTAAATAATATGGCCTTCCAAATACCGTTTCGAGTCCTAAAATCACTGAAGAGACATTAATTGTCGACATCCGGATATGGTGTACACATTTTTACACCTCATGTTAGCGGTATACCATCTTTTCAGCAAGATTATTGTGTTCTGTTTGGTTATAAATTAATAATACGATTTTTTTTTACATCTTGTGATCCGTTTATTTGGCAATCGCCAATGGCAGTCAGCAAGGTTTAAGAACATCAGTTGTTCGTCCTGCTGGTCAAATGCGTTTTGTTTAAATATACGTTTTTACTCATTTGGTCTTTTGGAAAATGTTGTTTGTGCTGTATTTAGACCCCTCTACCAAGAAATTTGTTTTGCATGCACACGTATAAAATTGCGGGTTTTATCCAACACAGTCATAGGTTTGAACGTTGTTTTCAATTTAGACTTGTTTATATTTTTTCGTTTGGGCTTGTATCATATTTGCCTTCGGGTTTATGTGATTCGTTCATCCTATTTTGACTCTTTCAAAATTCAAGAGTCTATCCTAAATTGAGGTAAATAATATGGCCTTCCAAATACCGTTTCGATTCCTAACATCACTGAAGAGACAGTAATTTGTCGAAATCCGGATATGGTGTACAAATGTATGCACCACATATGTTTGAGGTATACCATCTTTTCCGCAAGTTTATTGTTTTCTGTTTGGTAATAAATTAATAATAAGATCTATTTTGTTACATCTTGTGATCCGTTTTTTTGGCAATCGCAAATGGCAGTCAGCAAGGTTTAAGAACATAAGTTATTGACCTTCTAGTCAAATGTGTTTTGTTAAAATATACCTTTTCACTCATTTGGTCTTTTGGAAAATGTTGTTTGTGCTGTATTTAGACCCCTCTAACAAGAAATTTGTTTTGCATGCACACGTATAAAATTTGCGGTTGTTATCCAACGCAATCATAGGTTTGAACATTGTTTTCAATTTAGATTTGTTTATATCTATATTTATGTTATTCTCAAATTTTGTATGAATGTTTTTGAATTCTCGGTAATCTTTGGACTTGCATGGTTTTATGAGAATAAACTATCGATCTAACTTTTTAGAAAACAGATATACCACTAATTGGTCGATCATAATAAACGTGAATACTTGTTTAACAAAAAAAGAAGACACTGTGAAATCATGAATATTAAAATAATTCAAACACTTTAAAACTGTGAAAAGTAAAAGAACAAAAAATACCAAACTCGAAGGATAATTCAAAACGGTAAGTCATTTATCAGATGGCAAAATCAAAAGCTAAATTACATGTGTCTTAAGACTGGTGATTAATTCAGGTCTAGTACAGAAAGAAAACCTGTAAAATCAGATATTTTACTGGTCTTAAACAAGATATTAACTTCTGTTTTGTGGTAAAAAAAGGATTCAGAAAATACATGGGTATATTTAGTGAAATATAAAATCTCAAAAAGTTTGATGTTTTGAAGTTGTTGTTATTTTTCTTTGAGTATATACAAATATGGATCGTAGAAATGATGAATATCAGAATTATCAATCGTAAAAGATTATTTCGCTGAGGACGGAGCCCGAGGTAAACAAAAATGTAAGGGGTAACAATCTTGGATATGCAAGGCTTACAATGGTCACTTATGTTTAATTATTGTAAAGGAACACGATATTCGTAAACCATCTATTGAACTATTTAAGGATTTTGGAATTATTCCCGTTACCAAGAGAATACTTTACCACAAGTCATTATTAATGTATAAATCAAAACATGAACTGGCACCAAAATATTTATCAAATCTTATTTTGCCTACAAAAAGTAAAAAATCGTACAATACTCGACTTTCATCATCAGATAATTTTATTGTCCCTAAATCAAAAACAGAATTATACAAATCAAGTTTTTTTTTAGTGGTCCAAAAGTGTGGAATTCACTATCCAGTGAAATTATAAAATCAAAAACTATATCTGCATTCAAATACTCTTACAAGTCATTATATTTTTAAAAGTGTGAAATTTATAAGTTAAGCCACAGTGTATATTATAGGTTATTGTTTTGTTTGTTGTTGGAATATTTGTGTATATATACATTTATTGTTTATATGTGTGTAATAATAGATTAATCATGTTTTATTCATGTAGTTGATATATTGTATGTAGAGAGCATTATTGAAAATTGGTTTAATCCAAATGAGATACTCATTTAAATAAAGATATTATTATTATTATTATTAATATTATTATTATTATTATTATTAAACCAAACTAGCAACAAAAGAGCCTTTCGCAGACCATTGAACACGCATGCTAAGGAAGCTCTTGCACATGTCTTAGAGAAGTTACATATTGTCAAAACACTTACGCCAGAGAATGTTTTTGAATCTCAAGTTCCAATCTGCCCCCCAAAAAACTGAGTAGCGAACACATGACAAACAAAAACCCACTAAGTTTACGTAGACTTCAGTTCAAAATGTGTAATAGTTAGTAGATATAAGAAGATGTGGTATGAGTGCCAATGAGACAACTCTCCATCCAAGTTAAAATTTATAAAATTAAACCATTATAGTGTACAAATATAACATTCGTTTTCAAGTTATGGTATTTCACGATATAAAATAATTGAAGTGCACTAAAAATTACCAAATAAAGGGTAGCTTACTCCGTAATTTGGTATCATTCTAACCAAGACATTTCTTGAGATTTTTCGAATTACAAGACACGCAGAAATGAAAGACCTTTCATTTTCTTTTTACTCAGGATGACAGTAACCCCAAAAATGGATGGTTTTGTTCGAGTTTTTTTCTCGGCCATGTAACATGTGTAATGTAACAATTTTCATTGACTGTCAAACAAAAATAAATACACTTATTTTACCTTCCCTTAATGACTGTAATGTTGTTATGTACATGCATTCATTAAACGCTGTTATGGAACTTTGGTATGTAAAGGACACCATATATAAAGAACGTCGTTATGTACTTGAAGTTATAGAATGCTGTTATGTAAATGAAATCATAGAACGTTTTTATATACCTAAAGTCATAGAAAGAACATTGCTAACCGAGGCTAAACTGTGTAAGGTAACTTACCCGATCAAACTTCAAGTAGCTTGTATTCCTTTGATTTGTGTTTCAAATGATATGTTTCACAATATACATTTATATTTCGAAACTACGAAATGTTAGTGTGTTCATTGTCTGCATCAACATTTTGTCTAACGAATATCGATGTAGTTCAGTAGTTTATCATAAACATATATAATTGTGTCCATATGATTGCTATAACTATTTACGAAAACTGTATAAATAAAAAAAAATAGAAACAAATCTAACACTCGACCAATCTTTGAGGGTTATTGTCTCACATGACAAGTTCATAAAAGGGAGATTGAAAATTGAAATTACCTTACCTTTATTCATTTTGATATATTTCATGTATTCTTAATTTATTCTTATCCTGCACATGCATAATACATTTACCCCTGGACTTTCAGCAAACATTAATTAATCATTCCTTCCATTCCTTTTTAACACATTCAGGTATTCATTTTTAATGATCAAACACGCTAATATAAAACTTTTTTATTTTCCTTTTCAAATTATATAGTAGGAGCCGCTTTTAAACTAATTCCGTACCATATGCTGCCATACCAGATATCGTATTTAGT